TCATAAATACTGTAATAAATGTATTGTTCATTGTTCGTTCATGATAGTTAATACATTAACTAACATTAACTAATGGGACCTTATTGAAAAGTTTTACCTTAAAGGTGACATATATCATGAAAATCTGACTTTTCCAGGTTTTAAGTGCTATAATCAGGTCCCTGGTGCATCTACCAACCAAGGAAACGTGAAAAAGATTAACCTAGTAACTTTGTTTTGGTAAGCCTTTTTCTGGTCAGATTTAGCTCCCATGGTGACATGGCAAAGGGATCTCATTATAATATTACCGTCCCTTAATCTTTAAGTTTACACCAACGGTGCCGTCATTTTGATTTTGCAAGCGACAACGGTGTACCAGCTCGAATGCCACAACGAAAGTTTGAGCAAAGCATGCTAACTGTTCTGTCATTGGCTGCGCAGAACACTGTTTAGAGTCCCAGCCTCAGAGGAGACAAGAGAGCAGTGGAATTATTGATTTATTTACTGTATATTATGCTGCTGCCACACAGATCATATATAAACGTGATTTCTTTCCCAGCTTTTTACCTTCACAGACATAACCTACTGTTTTTGTAACTTATGTGTGCTTTTAACATAAACTTGTGTGTATTTGACAGTTTAAGTGCAATAAGACATGAAAGAACTTAGTTTAGTACTCACCGCTTTCTGCGCGTGTGCTTCGGATGTGTGTGCTCAGAAAACCATATATCAGAAGTTTTAACTAATACAGTTTAAAATGCATGATTTCAGCGGTATAGACATGATAATCAAAATATTTTTTTAGCAGAGTATCTGAGGCACCAGCTGTAAAGGCACAGCCCTTTTCTCGAAAAGGGGGCAGGGAGCAGCAGCTCATTTGCATTTAAAGAGACATGCACGAAAACAGTGTGTTTCTTCCTCCAGTCAAAATAGGCATTTTCAAAATGATGTAGACCCTGAATATAAGACGACCGCGTTTTTTCAGATGTATTTCCAAGAAAAAAACATCGTCTTATATTCGGGTCAATACGGTATTTAGAGTCCCAGCCTCAGAGGAGACAAGAGAGCAGTGGATTTGTTGATTTATTTAGGCTACTGTATATTGCTGCTGCAACACAGATCTAAAATAAACAAGCGATTTATTTCCCAGCTTGTTTACCTTCACAGACATAAACAACTGTTTTTGTAACTCATGTGTTTTTAACGTAAACTTGTGTGTGATTGAGAACTTAGTTTAGTACTCGCATGCTGTCTGGTGGCTGCTTTCTGTCCGTGTGCTTCAGATGTGTGCTCTCGAAAAAACATATATCAGAAGTTTAAACTAATATGGTTTAAAATGCATGATTTCAGCGCGATAATCATGATAATCACCATATATATTATTATTATTATTATTATTATTATTATTATTATTATTATTATATGTAGCCTATATTTTTGGTGCATCCCTACTTACATCCCCTCCTTGTTTACAAATCCGAAGTAAGTCCATACATCCGATTTAAACGCGGACGGGGCTTTCCTGATAACTTTCCGCGATGCCACCCTCTTTATTTTACTAACTTGCTGCATGCTGAAGGTGACCCAGCTGACCTCACCAGAAAAAAACACCACCATCTAGTGGATTGTAAAGAAATTGATTTTATTATTCTACCAAATAGTATAATAAAAGATCGATACTTGGCGTCAGTGTATCGATACAATATTGCTGAGGAAAATATCGCGATACTATGCTGTATCGATTTTTTCCCCCACCCCTAGTAATTACCCATGAGTATTCACACTGCAGACCAGCCCACCTCTAAACATGTACTTCATGTAGCGCTGTGTTAAGGTTTTTTTTGTTTGTTTGTTGTTTTGGGGGGGTGGTCAAATTTCCATTGACATTCCATTCCAATGAGTGATAGACCATTCCCGTGTAAAGGTACCAGAGCCCTTTTTCCTGTCTCGCTTTAATGTACATCTTTGTGTTTTAGGCCTGTCTGCAGCCTGGAACCTTGTATTTTGCAGTGGCCCATAAGTAATGTTTTTCCCAGGTGGCTGGGAAAGCACTTCGTTTGTTGCAGAACCCCCCCCCATGGCTTTTTGCAGTTTTATCACAGCCAGAGATGTTGCAAGGTTTTTTTTGTTTTTTTTTTGGTGTAAAGTTCCCAGCATGGACACAGACAGAAGCTCTCACTGACCTTTCACATTTGTTCAACATGTTTGGTCTGTATGAACTGAAAGATGGAGTGCTTGTGCTTTGCCAGAACAAATGCTGACATCTCGTTGTTGTGGGCAGTGCAGGTGCAGGAGTGTTGAATCCTGATTTTTTTTTTTTTCACAACCTTTTTTTTCCTAATGTACACAATAATGCTGTTTATTTGTTTATTTAATCATATTGATATTGTATCTCTTTAATATACAGGGCCTGAAGAACATATTCAGATGCCTGAATACATTGCATAAGATTTTGATATGACTTAAAATTTAGGTCATGAGCATTAACCATTTCTCTGGATCATCTTTGAGATGTTTCTGCACTTTGATTGGAGTTAACATGTGACAAGTTCTATTAATTGTACTTATTTTGGAAAAATGCACACCTGTCAATGCAGGTCTAACAGCTGAAAAAGCAGGACTGAGCAATCGGGTGAGAAGGGCCCTAGAAAGAGAGGTTACCAAAAACCTGATAGTCATTCTGGTTGAGCTTCAGTTAAGTTTCTCTCATCTCCACATTTAATATTCTGGTTGAGCTCCAGAGATCATATGTGGAGATGAGAGAAACTCATTCATTTTCATCTTTGAGAAAATGTTAATTGTGGGTTTTCCTCTTGTCTTGTACAGTATAAGTGGGTCCACCATTTGTCTTAAATACCTGTCTGTTGTCTCAGGGAGTAGGTCAGTCTTGTTCTGTTCAGTCCTCCCTAGGTTTTTCTTGACATTTGAGTTGAGTTTTTGCTTTGCTGATTAGTCTAACTAGATTATTTGTTGGAAGAAGTTTATTGAATTTGTATTCTTTATTTGTAACTATTTTAGGAAATTTATTGGTCACAATGAAACCCATTTTTTGTCAGAAATCCTGTGTCCTCATGTCTTACTACTTGGCTTTATCACAATACCCAAAAAGACTTGAGAATATAATCACCACCAAAGCGGTTTCATCTAAGCCAGGGATGTCAAATCCAAACTCAGTAAGGGTCATGCTGAGGGTTGTGAATAAAATCAGGTGCTGGACATATATTTATATGATATTTAGATTATTGATCAAATATAAGTGTATTAGTAAATGTATTAAAAAACTCACAATTCAATAAACCACATTTATCAAAATGACAAAGTTTTAATTTTGAGTTGTAACACATTTGGGACACATTTTTGTCACAGCAGGCTTTTTTATCTTTATTAAAACCAGAAATAAGGTCTTTGACCATGCTTAACTGCATAAAACAGTACTTTAAAACAGTAGCATAAAACAGTAATTTAAAAACAACAACTTCAATTTCAGTAAAACTGATAAAGCAAAATAGTCAACAAATGATAGATATAAAATACCACATGGTATATAGAGAACAAATGGTATCTGATATTGTATTATTTGGCTTATTTTGGTAGCTCTTACTTTGAAACGACATCTTTAACTTGAAAGGACACATGCCAAACCTAAGCAAATTAGGCATTAAAAAAAACAAACTTTTATCAGACACTGTATTAGAAAAGATCTTGTCTATTCTATGTTTTGCTGTAGCTATAGTATTTATAAAGGGAGTACAAAAACAAATATGATTAAGAATAGAATGTGTTTCTTTTAGAAAAATTACTGTTTTAGTTCTTTGACTTTTAGCAGCCGCAGGTCCATGTCCATGCTTCCATATTGATCATGTTTCATTTCGAAATGCCTTCGAAGTAGAGACCAACGCGGGACGGATTTTTCAGTCCTGCTCCCACAGGATTTTGTCCCGCACCCACCCGCTGCAGCCGCAGAAATATGTTATCTTGTCCCGCTCCCGCCTGCAAAACCCTGCATAAAAGTACCCTATATAGATTTTTTTTCTGCACATCCATGAAACATGAAATAGTAAGTTCCGTGTCGCCAAGCCAAAACATCCCAACGCTCCCGATAAAATATCGGGGGCCACCTGCCTATCAATATTGTAATTGTCACAGACAAATATTTAAACACGGACAGGCCACATTAAATTGACTACCTGAATTTGTTGGCGGGCCTGATTAAAAGTTGTGGCGGGCCGTGTTTGGCCCGCGGGCCTTGTAATTAACACATGTGATCTAAGCACTGAGTTAAGGTTCTGAATTATTTAATTAATATAATTCTAATTATTTCAGTTTTTCATTCTAATAAATTTGCAAAGTTATGCTTCCTCCCCCCTTTGTTATTATTGTTAAATTGATGTAATAGTATAGTAATTTAAAGCAGTATTAAGTGTGCATATTAGAAGAGTATTGGCAATGAGCATGAACTGTAATCCGTAAGGTTCTTGGCCAAAGTAAGCTTCAGTGTGGACCAGACTTTACTCCCAATAGTCAAAAGTTTGGCTATGTGAGACTGTTTCCTCCCCTGCTGTCTGTCTGTTTCTCTCTCTCATTCTCTTTCTGTTTTTTTTCCTCCGTCAGGGGTCAGCTGCACCAGCAGTGCTGTGAGGAATGGACTTTGGTCAGCGAGGAGACTCAAGCCAAGATGGCCCGCATGGCAGCGGCTGCAGCATGGGGACTGGGTGAGGCGAGAAGGGAAAAAAAAACATTGTTTTTGATTATTCCAACATTAGGTTGAAATTAAAGAATGTAGGAATTCTGTAACTTAAATCTGTAAAGTTTACCTGGTGACTTCAATCTGCAATTTTCCTTAGTTTTGGCAAAACACTGCTAGCAATCACTGCTAATTTCCACTTAATACTACAAAGACAAAACACTGTAATCACATCAACACAGTGATACATAATTAACATTCCTCTTCTATAGGACAGGGATGCAAACTGCTCACCTTTTGGGTGAAGTTCACAGTCATGGATTTTGAGCAAAAATGGATACTTGCAAGAGCCATGCTGTTCCCAAGAGTTTTTGTTTGAGGCGGGATGGGGGTTTGTTGTGCAAACGCATAACACATTCTTGATGTCAGTCGGCAACAGCATCCAAGCACGTCTGATAAAAAATGTTGCAAGTTTTGATGGTTATAAATACGTAATACTGTATTCATAGCAACATTAAGCTAGTTGTTAACTATAGTTGGTTACATAAGGCAAAAAACAAGGCAGCTTTCTAAAGTAAATGCTTTAAAGACCATTAAAATCAGAATGTTAATGTTACTATAAAAATCATGTGATGTCCATGTTTCATATTTCATGTATACATGACATTATGTGATTTACTTAAATATACCCCATTAGAATTTTTTTTACTTGTTTCATAATGGTAATTCATTAAATATTTAAATTCAAAATCTTACTGTAGGAGTCTCTGTCTCTCCTTAACCTGCTAAGAAAACCTGCTTAAGTCAGCCTGAGCTGAAAAGTGCCCAAAACTTCTCTAAAACCAGCCAACAGACCTGTAACAATAAAAGCATGCATTTCACAACCCGTATTTCAGGGAAGTGAATTCATACGAAATAGTTCGGGAAAAAAATACATTTTGGCCCTGGTGATACAAAACTGACAGTATATTAATACCTAAGACAGTGCATTTTCATGTATTTTCTACCATACATTTTAATGAGCAATAAGATTCTATTGTGACTTTTGACCTGAGACCAAATGATGAAGGATTCAAATTCAGTCACTATTCATCAGTCAATAGTATCAGTTTTTATTACATTTACAGATATTCTATTTACAGACCATCAGATATTCCACGTTGCTGCAATTTTCTTTTGGGACACTTAATGTTGAATCTAAGTCTCAGATATTGCAAACAGATATTTGTTTAATTTATTATTTTGTTGAAAATATTAAATTTGTATGTATAATATCATTTGCTTCTTTGTGCGTTTGTCAGGCCACTGGGACAGTATGGAAGAGTATACCTGCATGATCCCGCGAGACACCCATGATGGAGCCTTTTACAGGGCAGTGCTTGCTCTACACCAGGATCTCTTCTCATTGGCTCAACAGGTACTACATAATAAACAACTTATGAGAGTTATTAAATGAACAGTATATAAACTGCCTCTCACCTCGTTTGTCATCCTCTAAAAATGTCTAACTCATGTTGAAGAAACAACCAAGAGGGAGATGATTAAGGAAAAAATTGTTCAGTCAAAGATGATGAGTGCAGCAGTTGCCGTGGTGCATTGTCTCACAGGCATTATGTAATATTGGTCAAAGGCTAGCCTCAATCTGCACGTCAAATAACTTGGCTGACATACGGTCCCTGCGGTGATGCAGTGTTCCTTTTTCCTAAACAAGCGTGACTGTGTGTGTGTGTGTGCGTGTGTGTGTGAGAGAGAGAAAGAGAACTCTGTGTTCACCATTATTATCCTGTCCATCCCACCTGTTCCATTACTCGAGAGGACATTGTGGCTAAGGTTACTTTAATTAAACAGTCAAAGGGGTCAATAATTACTTTTTTATTTTATGTTTTCTGAGGTACACTTATAATGGTAGTATGATTTTTACTTAAACTGTCATAATTTACAAATAAAAGGTCATTATCTACCCAGATTTTAGACCTCTTACTTAAATTCTCTATTTAAAAGGGTTGTGTTTTAATTTTAAACGCCCACTGCTATGATTGAGCAACATCTTTACATATGAATATTAAACATGTAAATGATTACATGTGGAACTCTTTTGAAAACTTTTTTTTTTGTATTTACTGTAACAGCTGCTAGGATTCATTAATTGTGAAAAGTGTTGATTCTAGCATTATAATCGCAATTTAAATAATACATGGTTTTCAATGCTACTAAAAGGAACAGCATGACCATTTAGTCACTGGCCTGATTTACTGACACATAAACAGCAATAAACAATTAGTGACAACATCTAACTGTACATGAGTGCTTATATAGTCAAACCAAAATTTATTTAGACACCTTCAACATTTCACAGATTATTACAGTTTATTTGCTATAGTTTAGAAAATGGTAATAAAATATAACAAGAACTCAGAGTTAAATTGTGTCAGAACAAATTAATCTTGATAATGTCAGATAACAATTAAGCAAAACATGGTCAGGTCAAAGTGTCGGAATAATTTTTGGTCCCAAATTTCCCAAAGGGAGGGTTGATTTTACTTGCACCAAGTGCATGAGGTTGTCAAGGCAACCAGATACATTGCATGCAATATACTTGTAAGGGCTGCTCTTATCAATAAACACTTCGAAAATAATGTGCAAAAATTATGTCAAAGTATGCTTTTACTTAGCAAATCAAGCAGTGAATTAGTCACCCTTTGCTTTAAAATGGGCATTTTGTTTAGGTATGATTCAAGTAAACGGACAATGGCATGCACACAAACACTTTATATTTAGTTAATCTTGCTGAAAATAGATGTTTATGGTTAGGTTTGGTTCTGTGTAAATTGCGCGTGTATGTAAATGGTCCTCATCCTGTCATAAATGCAGAAAACTGAGTTGCTACAATGGGTGCATCCTGCACATCACCTTCGGAGTCATCAAGCATGGTATAGGTCCAGATTTCTGTGCAGTTAGTCGGCGTTGTAAAAAAGTTGAATATACATTTATGCTACACAACAGGCAAGCAGTGTACTGTAGGCTATTATCCACCAAACTGCAGATCCTCATCAAACAACTGTTGACAAAAATGTGATTGGGGGAGGCATTAGTATTTTGATAACAATCTATGTAATCCATGCACTGCAATGCTGACAACAGTTTTCTGTGCATGTGTAAGTCTCTGGGTCAAGTGCGTCAAGTTATATTAATTTATATAGAGCTTTGTTCTATACAGATCATGTCAAAGCAGCTTTAAAGTAATAAACTGAAAAAACAGCAATTTCAACCGACTGCCCAAGGCCAGCATGAAAGACGCTCAGGACAGTTGACGGGTCACTGCTGCGTGTCGTCATGAAAGCTTATCATTTGCATGTTTTTAAGCCTTGCCAGTTTGAACATTCAAGAGATTTTAAAGCATTCTAGCACAAGAAGATGCGAAAGAACTCAACTGAGTACTCGCTGACCTAAGTTGTCTTTCATGTCTTCTTGCACTTGAATGAACAAATACACCTCACCAATTTAAACATTCAAGCAAAAATGACGTGAACGAGCTTAATTCAACACCCGTGCGCTGTGTTCTGTGCGCACAGCGCGCGCACAGAGAGCTGCATCTCACAGCCCATGAACACCGAATTGTGTTTTGCGTCTTCTTACACTTGAACGGACAAATACATACAAAATTATGTTGAAATACCCGTCTTGACGAGCATCCTCGAAAAACTGTTGGTTATGTCTTAAGTGAACATAAACATTTGAGAAAGAAATTGGGCGTGTAATTTATACCTAATTTACTAGCTGCTGTCACTGTTCTAAAGTTAATCCAAGAAAAAATTGAGAAAGTCACTCACTGCTGTTGACTGAATTACTTTTGTAGTTTTAACAAGAATTAATCTGTATTTAATTTATTAAGTGAAGACTGTGCAATGCTATTTTACATTTGATTATTTGGTTTCTATTAAAAAAAAAAAAAAAACTTAAATCATTGTTTCATTTGTATCTTTGTTATCTTTATTTATTTGTGCTATTTACATGATTTCAAACAGGGCCCACAGTCTTGAATCTCCAATTATACTATAAGTTACGGTTTGATGAAACAGCATAGAATGCATGATAGTTTAAAAAAGAGACAGATGGCTTTTGATGGGCTGATGGTGGTCATTTTTTGTTTAGTGACTTTTAAAGAACATGTTAGCATGTGTACCAAAGATAATGTTCTCCTCCAAAGTTCTTCTTTAGCTTGGTAAGAACACAGTAGGAACACATTGTGACTGATAATTCCAAGTTACCGCACAAGTTAATGTTTTTGTACATTTATGGTATAAGTAATATTTAATACAATTTATATATTATAGTGAATACACTGGCTGAAATAATTGGGATAGGGGTTGAAAGTCTGACCGGCAGGCTGAAATCATGGTGGTAGAGTTTGCTGTAGAAGTCTAGAATATTGATGGGTGTCTGTGGTCTTTGCTAGTTGTTTAGGTCTGCGTTGCAGTCTTGGCTTCGCTTAAAGAGATCTGTATGCGTGTGTCTACATGTCTATGTGAGAGAGAAAGCAGGAGAATGAAAGCATGCTTTCCATATAAGGTAATTTAGTGGTAAAAACATGGAAATTATCTTTTTTTTTTAGTTTGTCATACTTGTTTTCTTGGTCAGTGTATTTCTGGTTTTGGGATTTTTTTTTGCTGTTGTTTGCTATAAGGTCCTTTGAATTAACTGAAATAATTTGAAATGACTGTAATGCGGTCAACAGACCTGGAACATTTTATAGATGTGTGTTTATTGAAAAATAGTTGCAACCAGAGTCAAGCATTCAGCAACACTGTGGTATAATGTGTTCATGTGATTTCAGTGCATTGACAAAGCCAGAGACCTACTGGATGCTGAGCTCACCGCCATGGCTGGAGAGAGTTACAGTAGAGCATATGGGGTAAGAGAATATACCTCAGTCTCAATATAGAAGATTGGCCCAAGTCAAATAATTATTTGATACAAGTAATGTATAGCTTTTCTTTTTATTGTTCATTGAGTAATTGCTGTTCAGCATGTGAGCTAAAGAGAAGACCATTACAGGAGAGACTATTACATAATAAGGCCAAACCCATGTCTCTGTGTTATATTATTCCAGCCTGAATAAGGTGCTAATAAACATGTGCACACACACACGTACTGTCACATTGGGTGAGAAAATGACACTTTATGGATCTAATCTTTGTTTTTTTTTTCTGTTTGTTTTTTTCTTGTTTTAATTTAACATGATTTAAATGTTTAAAGAGTGCATACAAAAGAAGTCTTGGCTTTTTTTTAATATAGTCAAGACACTATCTTTTTCATTCTCTGTATCTTTCCCTCTCTCTCTCTCTCTCTCTCTCTCTCTCTCTCACAGGCCATGGTGTCTTGTCAGATGCTATCTGAGTTAGAGGAGGTGATCCAGTATAAACTGGTTCCTGAGAGGAGGGACATTATACGGGAAACGTGGTGGGAGAGGCTGCAGGTAACCGCAATGTTTTTCACTCCACACTTACCGAGTTAAATGGAGTATTCAGGGTTCTATATGTATGTCTATAAAATCAAAGTTAAATTAATTACAAAAGAATTTTTGCACATGGATATTTTTAACTGTGTCACTACATGTTGTCATATGAACAGTAAGTCAGTAGCGATACGTTAATTTTAAGTTTCACAAAGAAAGGATTCATCAGACTGATCCAAACCAATAACTTCCATCTGTTGCTGTTGTGTTCCTTCATCAGTAATCCTGTCCTGACCTGGTTGACGTTACGTGTGAAAACACTTTGTGGTTGGCTTGACATCAGCTCAGCAGGGTGTCTTGACGTAGTGTGTCAGCTTGCGTTTCTTTTATATGCTCAGCTAGTGCCACTGGGGGAAAACAGGCATTTAACAGTGAGAACTAATGCTGCCAACCTGCAGACTTTTCCATTCATAAAGGAAGGTGTGAGAGTGCAGAACTGATATATTGTTGACAAGGAAATGTTAGTCTGCAGTTAATTGGTCAGCTTCAGTCCAGGAGAATTACAGACTCAGAATAGTGTGATTTGTTGTATTATAGGGGGTTCATGTACAGGCAGTTTTTCATCCATATCCACTTTCAGGTTTATTCAGCCCTGTTATGTGTAGAAGTAGCTTATTCTGTCTAAGGACTGCCCACTTTATAACCTTAACACTAACTCATACTTTTGCCAAAAGTCAGTAGTCTGGCTATGCAATGGTAATAACTAAGTAAGTCTTCATCTTTTTGTCAACACATTTTCTCAAATTAATGACTAACACACCATTCTTTATAGCTGTCAGCTGCTCAGTTTCTTGTCATTTGTGTCAAAAAAACTTCATAGAGTCTAATGTTACCAACCATAATTCATAATAGTCAGTGCTGGGTAGATTAGTTGCAAATTGTAGTCTGTTATTGATTACAAATTACACAACAAAAATTGTAGTTTGGGACATAATTTATAGATTACTCATTTTAGGTAATGTATTCTACTTTTTAATTACTTCTAGATTACTTTATACCTAACTCATTTGTCACATATATAGTGTACTTTATTGAGATAAAATAAAATAACAGAGAAAGAAAATATATTCCATTCTTGAAAATGCATTAAACAATACGCCAGGATTTCCCAAACTGGATTTTATGAAAGAACTGCAGGGTTTTTATGAAAAGCCAATAATTAATTAAGTCATAAAAATGTAAAATTAAAGCTAATATATTACTTGGAAATAAAAACAAATCCAAATAAGACGACTGAACATTAAAAATAGCAATGACATTACACATACATTTTTCAGGTTTGAAGTACTTTTAGACCAGACTTTCATCCAGATCAATAATTAGTGATGTTCAGCAGATTTCATAGTGTTTCACAGCTGTTTATCTGCAGTGTTTACTAACTTGTATAATTATTTGTTTCATACATGGTCTAATTGACTGAGAGGTGCTTTGTCCCCAAATTTAGAAACATGGATCACAAATGTATTTACATCAAATTGACATGGCCATGTTATGAATATAGTCAAAGCTACACAGTGTGACACACGGTAGAATTATTTAGAAAAGAAAATTCAAAGGAGAAAAAGAAGAATTGAAGCCACTGTGTGAATTATGAGCATAATATAATGTAATTACAAGTATTTCATTTTTTGGAATCTGATTACATAACATCTGGATTATATGTAATAAGTTACTACCCAGAACTGAGCATAGTTTACAAAAGTAAATGCTAAAAATTTGACTTTCTTTTCTTCAGGGTTGCCAGCGTATTGTGGAGGACTGGCAGAGGATCTTGATGGTGCGCTCCCTGGTCATTAGCCCACATGAGGACATGAGGACATGGTTGAAGTACGCTAGCCTCTGTGGAAAAAGTGGAAGACTAGTAAGAACATCACTGTTACCTTCAATTGCAAGCTTAACACTGAACTCTTTATGTAACACATTGAATATCATTGACTGACACCGCATCATTTCACAGAAGGAAAAACTCTTGTGGAAGTTTTAAATATCTTCCAGAATGTGGCAGAATGTTTCTAAACAGAGAAACATCCATAAACAATGAAAAATTAAAGCAATAAGCCTCAAGAAGCCATGGTTTACAGTGATTTAGGACTGCTAAGTGGTGTCGAAATGTACAGTGTGGAGCTATATAGACCAGGCAAGGTTTTATAAAATAAACACAATTCAAAGGGGGCATAAACTGAGAAATCAAAATTCCCCTGCTCGTTTGACATATAAGAGGTCATTGCACTATAAAAGCAGTGTAAGTTTGATTCAAAAATCAAAAAGTTGCTTTTATTGAAACCAAGCTACCAAAACAACTTTTTTTTTTTTTTACTTCTTCCTCTTTATTATTTAATAGAAATTAATGCATCAGTGTAAAACTGCCTATCAGCGCCTGTTTCTTCATCATCACCTCTTCAACCCCAAGCACTGCTGTGTTATGGATAGACTAGGATCATTTGACTAAAAATAGGAATGTTAGGAAAGTGGCTGTTTATTTTCAGCCATGTAAATGCTCAGTCAGACATTCTTTGTCGCCGGTTTGTTTGTTGCTGTTTATGTGTCGGTAAATCAAGCCAGTTACTAAACAATGAACTTCACATTGTTCCTCTTAGGGACGTAGCATTAAAATCATCTGTTGTTTAGATTGTGTTGTTTAAATCCTGATAACATATTATATTATTATAACATTTATAGTACCATATGTTGATAAATAATTATTTCACCAAACAATATAGTTCTTTGGCAATTTTTAGCAGAATGGTACATTGGCACAGCAATACCAATGTGATGAGATCACATTAATGAGGTTTATAGAGTATTTTACAACATGACTTTTACCAAAACTGGTCACTGCAAATTATCTACTATAAAATAATTAAATATTTGAAATTATATTTTGCTTAAAAAAAAAAAAGTTGTTTAATGGCGTTTGAATTTTGTATGAATAATGGTGTAGTTATTACATCTACCAACAGGGGATAGCCTTGTCATGTTAAACCACTAAACCCTGACCTCTTACCTCACTTACATGACTTGACTTAATGCCCTTTTTTTTACTGGTCCTGTTATTGAAGTCTTAATTATTTATGAATGTGTAGTAAATCTCCTACTGTAATTCTATCGAAAATGTTTGCAATCTTTGGAGGCCATTTTCTCAAAAACAAGTTTTTATGACAGCTGCCATTTCATGTCACTGAATTACATTTGGTTTACAGATGTTTGCCATTTTATTTACATTGTGACGACAATTTGGAGACATAATCATTTGAAGCAATAATTATAACTGATATTCTTTGTGTATTCCTCAGGCACTAGCCCATAAAACCCTCATTCTCCTGCTGGGTGTGGATCCCTCCAAACAGCTCGACCATCCCCTGCCCACCGCCCACCCTCATGTCACCTACGCTTATATGAAGTACATGTGGAAGAGCACTCGCAAGGTAAACACTCACTTCAGGTGCTCTTGAAAACAAGTGATTCCCTTCGCAATGCCCCTGGGAAGTATTTTCATTAATGTACAGTCAAGTACAGATTCTTGCTGCTTGTATGTGCAAAAAAGAAAGTGGTCTGCAATATCTGGAGGAAGCCGTCCATTAGCATTCCCATTCATCTTAAAAGCAGTTGCTTATCTGACACATACAGTCCTGGAAATATATGACTTGCATGCTCCAATCTTGGTTCTCACTGGGATTTTTGGGGGGGGGGTTTTCACTGGTGAAAAATATACTGTAATATAAATATTTAGAGTTTACTTTTGCTTGCAAAGAATTTTAATTTGTCAGAATTAGGCCCGCAGGCCCCTCATTGCATAGTGTGTACTGACCACCAGAGCCCCTGGGCCCCTTGGCGCATTCAACACAGGAAGACCCGTAAAGCATGTACTGACCCCTAGGGCCCCAGGGCCTTTTATTGTAAAGACTAGGGAATCATAAGAACAAACACTTATACAATGTCCATCAGATGAGATGAAGCAGCTCAGTTTAGCTCTTTTTGGAATGCTGTGATTGTTAATATTTTTCATATTATGCAAGATGTCAGTTACTAGGGGTTAAGAGTAAATCAAGTATGGCTTCTATTTAGTTTGTCAAACAGATTAATTTAACATGACTGTAATAGGTTTTGGGACATTCCTGTCCTGCCCGTCACATAAGAGCAATGAAAGCACTCCTTCATGAGAGGACATCTTCAAAAAATTCCCTTGATTAGTTTCTCCTTGCTTAAAAACATCCTTGTTTTTTAAACAGAAAAAATCTTCTGTCTGTGTCTGTGATGATGTAACAAGATGAGTGGAAAGGTCACTTGGCTTTACCTGCAGCTTTCCAGCTTCCCAGTCTTACCTCTTTATTACTCTATTACTCTAGTATTTGACAAATGGACATGGTACACTATTACATGTTACACTATATTATGTCCAACTCCCATATACATTTATCTGAACTTAAATAGCTCCACATAAAATTACAAATGTAAGTAATAGCAGGAGGTCAGTCTCTCCCTAACTTGACTTAACTTGAAATTGCATTATTTACTTGTTTGGGGTCCCGATTAGCAAGATTTTCAAGAATTTTTTTTAACATTTAATGTGTAGATTCATGTATCTGCATGGCTATATTGACTATATGCTTGCAATAAATACTTATTTTAAGTAGATTTGTAAATTGTACAGTCCATGGTAAGGCCTGTCACAATGCAGGAAATTTTTAAAGAACTAAAACACAATTTGAGTAGGCAAGCGTATGTTCTGGAGGGAAAAAAGGGTGAGTTTTGCTGTTTAGCCAAATGATGAAATTTTAAGAAAAAAATATTAGACTTTAAAGGGGTACTTCACAAAAAAAAAAATGCTGTCATTTATTTACCCTCAAGTTGTATGAGTTTCTTTCTTCTGTTGAACATAAAAGAAAGTATTTTGACTTCCATAGTATGAAAAAAATAATAGTATAAAAAGTTATAACCAGAAACTTTATAGTTTATGCGCATGTTTTCTTATTGGATAAAAAATGTGTCCAACTCTGTTACACTCGGGTCAGTTTTTATGCACATTTTTAGAATTAAGGCACGTCTTGGCATTTCCATTCGGTGTTTTTTTTTTATGCAATATCCCAAAATGTGCATTAAAATAGGTGGATGGAAACATAGCTAATGATGACAGAATTTTCATTTTTGGGTGAACTATCCCTTTAAGGACAGTATAATTATGTCACGTCAACGTCCCATAGTAGAGCTTGTTACTGGAGTGTTATGTCTGAAAGAGATATCATAAGTACTGGCTAAGTATCAGGCACTGAAAATCATAGACCAATCCGCAGCACAGCGTTGTGTTAAAATTACTGGCATACATACATAGAGCCATCAGCCTCACTCAAATACTCCTGTGAAGAGATGAAAAAACAATGCATAAAATTACTAAAACATATTGAATTGTGAATTGCAAATTGCCACATTAATATAAATTACAAAACACAATCAGTTGTCTGTTGGATGAAAGGATACTGACTTTAGAAATATCTTCTACTGGTAAGGATTTCATGATACTTAGGCATTTGTTCTATCTGCATCTCTCTCAGATCGATGCATTCCAGCATATGCAGCACTTTGTGCAGGGGATGCAACAGCAAGCACAACACGCTATCGCAGCAGAAGACCAGCAGCACAAATTGGAGCTGCACAAACTGATGGCACGGTCAGTACGACTCGCAACCATATGCCCACACCCTTAGTTGACTTTACTCGAAAATTGCATGCACACACACGCTAACGTTATAAACTGTGAACCAACAGAAGCACCAATTTAAATGCTTATTCTGTGAATCATCAGAAAAAAAGCATGGTATTTTTCTCAAACCATATTAAACACATACGATTCTAAAGATTTAATTGGTTATGTCAGTCACAGTACCAATTGCATACACAAACAAATACTAACCCCTTAAACCCTACCTTCACCCTGACCTTAAGCATTTGTAGCACATTCTGATAGATTGCATTACTGTTCGTCACAATCTGATATATTAAAAAAATACATGATCAATTTTGAAAATGAGCTGAATCCATTAAACTTTTCTTGACAGATGATTGAGTTAACCAGTGAAATCAGCTATGTGGTAGGATTTTACACTGGTTTGGGGGAAAAAAACATGCACAAAAAAGTAGCATGTTAACACTAAGCTAACTTTAGTGTTTAGCTGACTTGTCACTGAACCAGTCTTTTGTGTACTCAGTCGTCCCTGAGAGATATCTACATTTTTACACACTAACCATGAAAGAACAATGACTGACAAATTCAAATTGTGTGGCTCTTTTCTAAAACCTAGTGATCTGCTTTGATGTCTATGTCCTAACGTGAATTGGAATCTCAAAAGTGATTTGAAACGCTCTACTCAAACAAAAATGGGCAAGTTTGATGTCAGAACCTAAGCTCCAATAAACAAAAAAAAATTAGTTGCACTCTCAAATATTAGAAATTGTCAATTTTTTAAATTTCATCAAACCGTTTTTTTGCTATTTATTTATGTATTGAATGAAATTTATGTTTTTATAGTGTACAATTCTCTTGACTTTTTTCATAAGCATGTTTGCTAATCTTAATGACACATTCCTCTAACAAACTCAAAATACATAGTTATTGTATTCAATAATATTTAAATTAGATTCAACTGCTTTTTTATTGATTCTTCTACCTACTGTGTGAAATAATCTCTCTCAGTCTACAGTTTTAGAATTTGTCCAAAATGAGGTATTAGCATAAGGCTGCTCTTTGACTTTTGAAACATCCTTATTGTCAAGAGCATGTTTTTGATTCCTGAAAAAATGGTGGTCAGCTCTCTAGGTTTTAGGAGAGAGCTTGTGTGGTTTGCTTAAAGGGGTCCTATTATGCTTTTTCACTTTTTTAATTTTTTGTTATATTTGACTGTAAGTGCCCTGCGAAGTGGACATTACCGGATATTCCGCCATGATTCCAGTTTGAATGGAGCGTATATGTTCCATACAAAGGGCATTTAAGTGTGCGAGACGTGAATTTAAATTGTATTTATTTACAGAGGTATATTATGTCCTACTTCACGCTTCTCTAGTAAGTTTGTGTGTGAAGATGCTGCAGGCAGCGGCGCAGAGGATTCGCCAAAAGTTTTTGTTGAAAGACGGAGCAAGGGGCGTGGCGGTAATGAAACACTGTCTAAGCTGTTCGCCAATAAATCAAGACTTTGTAAAAGAGCATAATAGGACCCCTTTAATGCTGAGATCAGTTTCTTCTTCCCTCCCAATGACTAGGGTTGGGTATCGTTTGGGTTTTTTTCGATACCGGTGCCAAATCGATACTTTTAAAATGGTTCCGGTGCCTAAACGGTGCCTGAACCGATACTTATTAAATAAATAAAAATTCCCCCCAAAAATTATGGATTGGTGGGGTTCGTGGGCGGGGCTTCACCTAACAGTATACGTAGCAAGGTTTTTGTTTGTTTGTTTGTTTGCTTTTTTTTTTTTTATAATAAATAAAAAGAAAACAAGAGG